GCGAATCACGCACTAAGAACTGTTGACCTAGCGTGTCTTCAATGTTCAGGAAAAGCGTTAACAGTTTCTTTTTTTATATAACATTTTTAATGTTTATTTTTGAGAGAGAGACAGAGCACAAGTAGGAGAGGGACAGAGAGAGGGAGACACAGAATCCGAAGCAGCCTCCAGGCTCCGAGCTGTCAGCACAGAGCCCGACGTGGGGCTCGAACCCAGAAACTGAGATCATCACCTGAGCCGAAGTCGGAGGCTTAACTGACTGAGCCACCCAGGCGCCCCAGAGGCAATAGTTTCTGTTTGTCATCTCTCACTGACTCAGCCCCTTCAAGGCACTGAAGCACGGTAGCATGCATGTTTTCAATTAAGAAAAACATTTCAGAAGGCAAAGAAATTGTCTATGTAAGTATTTTGGAATGAATGGGCTGAAGGGACATAGCTGATCTCTGGCTCTTAAAAAAAAACAAAAAACAAAAACACCAAAAAACAGAGAGAAAGGTGGGGGGGGGGGGCGGTTAGCAGGGTGGAAATGTCCTGAAGGCTCTACCATCTAAGAAGGAAAAGAAAAGGATTAAGGTTGAGGGATGAGAAATGGTGCTCTCCTTCGTCTGCATGATTTAGTCCTCCTTCCAGTATTTAGGCTGCTCCTTTTAAAAATGAAAGGGGCTAGGGGCGCCTGGGTGGCTCAGTCGGTTAAGCGTCCGACTTTCGCTTAGGTCATGATCTCGCGGTTCGTGGGTTCGAGCCCCGCTTCGGGCTCTGTGCTGACTGCCAGCTCAGAGCCTGGAGCCTGTTTCAGTCTGTGACTCCCTCTCTCTCTGACCCTCCCCTGCTCACGCTCTCTCTCTGTCTCCTAGAAATAAATGAAACATTTAAAAAAAAAAAAAAAAAGAAAGGGGCTCAAAAAGTCAAACACAAAGGGTGTGCCTTCCCCGGTGGCCAGGTTCAGACCTACCCCGGGTCCCAGGCCCCGGGAGCCCACACTCTTCCCTGGGTGTTAAAGCTGCAGCCACCACTGCCCCCTGCCTTGAGCTTCCTCCAGTCAGGGTCACACAGCTTGCTCACACGCTTTGTGTCCTGCTCAAGAGGCAAGGGAAATAAACAGAACGGGGAAGCGTTCCCATGTTTTAAAAGCCTAGAAAGTTCCCTTAGCCGTTACATTATTTACCTAGCAGCAGCTCAGCAAGTCTAGTAGGGCTGCTTGGTTTCCATCCTGATGACTGACGGGGTTGGTCAGATGCCTCGGTCTGCCCGCCATAACCCCCGTCCCCAAATTCCACCAAGCTTTGCCAAGCACACACCCCGAGTGGAGGTGTGCAGTGGACAGTGTAGGCGAACACCCATTGTACGTTCTAATGCTGCGAGTTGGGCCAGAGGAAGCCCAGGCTAAGTTGGTGAGAAGTCTCGGGGCTGAGCAGAAACAAATGCATTCCTTTTAAGCACTTAAAAAGCTTAAGCAATTAAAAGCTAGCATTCTGCTCGTTTATTTAAATGACTTTAATGAATCACTGAGGATAGGCGTGCTGGAGGCAGCGTGAATTTGCAGGAAACCGAGCCTCCGCCACTGTCCCGTGAGTATGTGAGTGCTATTTCTCGCTAGGTAGGGGCCAAGCCTTTCCCCTTCCTGACAGTGGACTTAAATTTTTCCTTCTCTGTGTCCAGTCCATTTGGGGACAGCTGCCCTGACTTTCCCTGCCAACTTTGCTCCGATTTTCAAGGTTTCCTCAGGAAACGCTCTTGATGGAAGCTTAAATCCTAATTGTATCAAAATAAGGAGAAAAGATCAGAGAACTCACTAAATAAACCTGTGCAATCTTGAGGGAAAAAAAAAGAGTTCAAGGTAAATTTGATAGATGAACTATTAGTCAAGCATCTAGGAACGTAATCAGAGGTGAGCACTAGCCTGAAGCGGGGAGCACTGTGGAGTAAATATGGCGAACCCGCGTGCATTTGTCTTAATGGTCTTCTTGCCACATTGGATGTTGACGTTACAAATTGTAACTTCCAGCCACAGCAGGAATGATAGGAGAGGAGTAGTTTCCTGGCCCTTAAATTTACAGAAAGAGCTGGTTAATTTCTCCTTCCTTACAATCAGAGGGTCTGACTTTCCCCCACAGCGGGATACAGAAGGCCCCAGAGCCATCATGAATCAAGGTTTAGATACAGAAGAAAAGGTACAGCAGCAAACCATTTTCCTATCTGTAACTGCTTTTTTTTTTTTCCCAGCGCAACTTTAAAATAGCTCTATTGGGTGCAAATTCTATCTTACAGATTCCGATTTCATGCCAATAAGGAAGGTATCCTTAAACCAGGTGTCTGAACCTTTCACTGTGACAGCCAAAAGTCTCAAGTTTTTATCAAAATTGAAAAGATCTGAGGATGCATCCAAGGATGTTATTTATATATGGGGGAAGAGCAGGTAGCACTTACCAAGTGAAGAACTCATTTCATATATTAAAGTGCACTTTGCTTTAATCGTGGTATGTAGTACTATGTAGAAAGGAAGGAAACGTCTAGAGAAGCAAACGTTTAGAGACTCAAGCACTGTTTAAAAAAAAAAAAAAAAAAAAAAAGGAGGGGCGCCTGGGTGGCTCAGTCAGGTTAAGTGTCCGACTTCGGCTCAGGTCATGATCTCACGGTTTGTGGGTTCGAGCCCCGCATCGGGCTCTGTGCTGACAGCTCAGAGCCTGGAGCCTGTTTCAGATTCTGTGTCTCCCTCTCTCTCTCTGACCCTCCCCTGCTCATGCTCTCTCTCTCTCAAAAATAAATAAAACATTTAAAAAAAAAAAGGCTGTTAAAAATATCATAAAGGGACTCCTTCCTTCATCAGGTAACGATCGACTAGATTAGGGATTGGTGAGCGAAGACCAAAGGCCAAACCTAGCCCACTGCCTCGTTTCCATGGCCCGAGAGTTTAGAATGGCTTTTACGTTTTGTCCCTCAGTGAAGTTTCATTGGAACAGGGCCGTCCTCATCTGCGTTTCTGTGAAGAAACTTGGTAGAGACCACCTGGTGTGCAAAGCATAAAATATTTACCCTCTGGCTCTTTCCGGGGGAGGGGGGGGAATCTCTAGACTGAGTGACGTCTGAGGTCCTGCTCACCTCCATGCTGCCAGAAAGTTTACTTCCTTAGATAATTCAAATTCCTCCATCAAGACAACGTGTGGAACATACATTAACCTGATAATATAATAATCCCAAAGGCTCTCTGTTGTGTTGTCAGCACTTCTCACGGGATACATAAAATTGCGCACAGAATGTACACGTAAACTTCCAAGACACTGATCACTTTTAAAGGTAGGCCCTTGGTTCTAGAAAGCACAATTTATCATTCTTAGCAACTTTACCACATTCACAAGTTTAAAAGGGCATCCGAGGAGTTACCAAGTAAGACAAAAATGAAAGAAGCCCAACTCCCTTGGAATTCATACCATAAAATATTTATTAATAAGTAAAAGGATTTCCCCTGCCTCTGTTATTAAAAAAATTTGAACATCTTCGTTGATACCAATTGCCAACAATGGTTTTACATCATCCAGTCATGAGAGAGAGCGGTAACAGAGAGCGAGGAGACAGACGGTAGACAGGTCATGGATGGACAGATGGATATATGAACTATCGATGTAAATGTGTGGAAGACCATACCTTACAAATGGTTTGTTTAATTGCAAATCTTGGTTTTGCCGGCAGATGGAAATACATTTGCACCTACTTAAACTTACTTCTTTTAAGCCAACAGAACACAAGATTCACTTGAATTTCATAATTCAGACCATTACCAATGAATACAGGACTCATTGAGGACTAAAGCAGAGAGGAAAACAAAAACTAACTTTGTGGGGGAAGAAAGGCAATCTCTCTTTCAAAAGCTTTTCTCTGGACTCGATAGATCCCCCACCCCCCGCCACTGCCTGAAAAATAAGCCATTTTGATAACAGGAGTATGAAAAGCCTCATGATTTGCAAAGTAAATTGTATCTGCGGTTTAAATTTCATCCCAAATCTCAGATTATGGCTGAGAAGTTATACTAAGGATCGTTAGAAAGCGTTTCTTTGAATTTTTCTGGGAAAACAAGCAAATGTTTTATCAGATCTGGGCAGAAATGCTGATCTTCATTTACAATAGTAAATCACCTGCACACGGCTCTATACAGACATGGGGATCCGAAAACCGAAGAGAACAAAATGCCAAGCCATACCACACCGTAAAATTCCAAGTCTTGAGAAGTAGCAGGTGGTAGCTTATGATTTCAATATAAAATAACATCTCATTACTTCTAAGATGTCGCTTTAATAAAGTCAGAAAATCGGAGGATACAATCAGGAATGAATGGCATATTACTACGCCACCCGCTACTTAAAGATTAAAATAATCCCAGAGTTCTGAAATGTCCTTAGTTAAGTGACAATACAATTTCTTTCAGTCTCTTTTTAATGTAGAAAATCACTTTGTAATAAGATCTCTACACAAGGTTAAAAAAAAAAAGCACAAAATAGAACCCCCCCCCCAAAAAAAGCACAAAAATAGACAAAATAGATCTATCTTTTTACAAGGAAGTTGAGATGTGCCTGTGAAGACACTGAGATCAAAGACCCATCTCAGGGAGTTCAAACTTGATTTCCTTTTATAATAATTCTGTTCTTTACATCTTCCCCTGAACCTTGGATGCTTGTACAAATCATACCCAGGTAAAAGGGAGGGAACAGGTATTCTGATCTCACAGAAACAAAAACAGAAATAATAATAATAAGGATAGAATAGAAACCCTTAATCTGTCCCTTTGCAAAATTCTTCCGACAGCCATACCTCAAGGGCACTTAGGGCTTCAAGCACCCGTCACACAGCCCCGCGGGCATCTCCATGCTTTTTTTTTTTTCTCCCCCATCATAAAAATCAATCATGCACCGGGACGAAACCACATCCAGAAAGGCTCATTTGGAAAGAGACGTTTTCAGACAGTTGGGGGCAGACGCAGCCATCCGAGAGAATCGGGCTGTCCTCAGCGGCTACGTGGGCGGACTTCCGCTTAGAGAATCCTTCCCACAGCCACAGCATCCCTGTGCTCTCCGTCTGGTAAAGGACCCCGCGGGCACCCCGGGCTACACGGTCACAGCCGGGTACATCTTCTGCTCGCTGCTGCTGTGGGGGAAGGGCGCCTGGGTCTGCCGGTAGCCGGTCTGCAGGCCGTCCAGGAACGGGGGCACGGGCGTCATGGGCCCCGAGTCGTGCTGCACCGCGTAGCCCACGTAGGGGGGGTGCAGGTACTGCCCCTGGTGGGGCACGATCTGGGTGGCCTGCTGACAGTTGAGCACAGAGAAGTTTGTGGGCATGTTCACATACACGTTGTTCATGGTGCCCTCGGGCAAGCAGCAGTTGGTCTGTGACCTCGTTGGGGGTGCCCGGGCCCCCGAGTTGGCGCTGGAGCTGGAGCTGGCAGCGGTGCTGGACTGGCGGGAGGAGGACCCTCGCGACGTGCTGGCGCTGGGGATCATGGGGATGGTCTCCATCAGGCGGCTCCCTCCGGGGGCGCGGCTCTGCTGGGGCTCCTGCTTCGGCCGGAGACATCGGCAGCAGCAGGCTGCCACCAGGGACCCCAAGATGATGAAGGCGACGAAGACGGACCCCACGATGAGGAACGGCACGTAGATGGGGACTGAAGGACACAAACGTATCGTTATCATTTACTGCAAGAAGGCGGTAAAGGTCGGTGCCCAGCAGCAAAGGAGCCGCGCCAATCCCCGCACTGAAGGACCCAGGACCCCCCATCCCCAAGGGCAGACCGCCCCTCCCTCCCCAGGACCCCCATCCCCAAGGGCAGACCGCCTCTCCCCCCCAAGCAGAACTGTTAACATTCACAGCTAAGGCTCACCAACCGCGACACTGAGACAAATGTTCACTTTTAACAAAAATACGGATTTAACGTTTTGAGACTTCGAAAATTCCTACAGTAACTGAACTGCCTGAGCTTGAGCCCGCCCTAACAGATACTCGGAGGATCTGCATAGAAATGAATTAGATCTCTATGGGGGGCTCAGTCAGCTGAGCGTCCGACTTTGGCTCAGGTCATGATCCTGTGGTCTGTGAGTGCAAGCCCTGTGTCGTGCTCTGTGCTGACAGCTTGGAGCCTGGATCCTGCTTCGGATTCTGTGTCTCCCTCTCTCTCTGCCCCACCCCTGCTTGTACTTTGTCTCTCTCTCAAAAATAGACGTTAAAAAAAGTTTTTTAATAAATATTCTTGGGGCGCCTGGGTGGCTTAGTCGGTTAAGCGTCCGACTTTCGCTTTGGTCTTGATCTTGCGGTTTGTGGGTTCGTGCCCCTCGTCTGGCTCTGTGCTGACTGCCAGCTCTGAGTCTGGAGCCTGTTTCAGTCTGTGACTCCCTCTCTCTCTGACCCTCCCCTGCTCATGCTGTCTCTCTCTCTTAGAAATAAATAAAACAAAAAATAAATAAATAAATAAATAAATAAATATTCTTAAAAAAGAAATGAATTACTTAAGAGTGGGTTCCACCCCCCCGCCCGGAAACTATAGTCTTTGCAGACTTCTTTTGCCATTCTGGAGCTGTTCTTTTTTTTCAGAGGCCAGTAAGTCAAAAAGTCAGGTCCAGCCACAGCCGTTTCCAAATCTGTAACGTAAGGCACTCAGGGCTGGTCCTTGGGCCGTGGAAAGGTAAGGGGACTTACAGTAAAGGGAAGCTATTCGAGGCAGGTGCAGGTCAGCATGGAACAAGGTACCGAGAAGAACGCATGCTGGGAGCGACAAGACATTTGGCCCAGGAAGAAGAGCAGCCCCAGTGATCAAGGGACCCGGGCAGGCCCAGGGCAGCCCGAGTGGAGCAGTTACACTGGCACTTAGCACCACTGGGCTCAGTGAAGCCCGCAGACCACGAGGCGGTGCATCCTAATTAACGAGTAAGGTGTACTCTGCAAAGTAACGAGAAAGGCCCACATCAAAACCTTCCTCAAGTCGGTGGCGCGTTCCATTTTTACACCGTTTTACTAAAAACAATCTTTTGGAAGCTCTGGGGATGGCGCTCCAGGGCTTTCAGAAGCTCCATGCACTGGCGGACGGGGCACAGAGAATCGGGAGCCAGGGGGCTGCCCGCTGCCTCCGAGCCAGCCACTTCTGTGGCATTCCACCCCGGGTCACCACGGATCTGTTTTCTGACGGGCTCCGGCCGGTCACCTTGACTTTCAGATTGGAAAATACATAAGGGCAGGGACTAGGGTCCGGGCAAAGCACAGAGCTGGCACACGGGGTACAGGGCAGCACTTAGGAAAGAGCCCACCTCCGAGGTCAGGTATGTGGCATGCCCTCTGATCATCTTCTAGAAGAACAGCCTTTCTAATTATGCTCCTTCCTACTGCTGTGACGCTCCTGAAGTCAGTGTACTTACAGGACAGTGCCACACGGGGTCACAGAGCCCCAGTGCCTTATTAAGTAAAGCGCACTTTATAGGTATGTCCCAAAGGTCGATGTCTGCAGACTTCCTAAACTTCAATGCCGAAGAATGCCGTATTTACGTCGCGCCCCGCTAGCAAGCAGAAGCACTCGCTACAGTTTGCAGCACAGAGGGTTTTCAGATGGGGGCGCTGCTCTAATAACACGATCCCCGGGCTACGACGGACCGCAGCGGAGGATGCGGGGCGTTTTCCTTATGCATGTCATAAACATTTCACTCTCTGAATCAGGATACCGGCCCTAAATAGCTTCTTAGGATGTAAACCAATAAAAGGAAGGAAGAGGGAGGGAGGGAGGGAGGGAGGGAGGGAGGGAGGAAGGAAGGAAGGAAGGAAGGAAGGAAGGAAGGAGGGAAGGAAGCTCCGAACATTAGAGCAGAAACTAGCTCTAGCAATGTAAGTCCACAGAACGAGTTTTGGGGAGAAAGAACTGTTCTCCTTCCAGGAATTTTCTCTGGGGACAGGAACCACCACCCGGAGGTAAAGGATGCGGTGCTCCCCACAGACCCTCAGCGCTGCCTGATTCGGTGCCTTGACAGTTCTGACTGCAGAAGAGAAGGGAGAGGAACAGAACTTTCAGGAAAAAAAGACCTAAAAGAGTGAAGGCGCCCACGCACATCTCGTGACCTCTCGAGAAGCCGGCTGCCTTCTGATTTGTCCAGAGTCAACCCAACTTTTCAGAGATCGCTCATCAGCCCGTCAAGGTAAGAGCTCCGTCTTTGGCTCACTTCTCAAGGCTTCCTTCCCCAGTCACACAGCCTGCGGCAAGGAGCTCGAGCTTGAAGGTGGCACCTTTTCTGGAGTTACCCTCAGCCCTCCGCTCCTCAGACTCAAGGCAGCGGGAACAAGAGGCGTAGCTTGCTAATAAAATGCTTGATGGGGGCGGCGGGGGGGGGGGGGAGCGCCTGGGTGGCTCAGTCGGTTAAGCGTCTGACTTAGGCTCAGGTCAGGATCTCGCAGTTTGTGGGTTCGAACCCGCAGAACAGAGCCTGGAGCCTGTTTCAGATTCTGTGTCTCCCTCTCTCTCTGCCCCTCCCTTGTTCGCACGGTCTCTCTCTCAAAAATAAACAAATATTTAAAAAAATAATAACATGTTTGACAGCCAAGGGAACGGCACTGAAAAGAGCAGCCTCTTACCAGGCCCAGGAGGTGGTTCTAGAAACACAGGTGCCGCTCAGTGCCAACGCTGAGGTAGCTTAAACCCTGGCTCAGGGCACTGGTAAAAAGTCCTCTCCTTAACATAACCAGCTGCCAAAAAGGGAGGAGACGTCCACTCTGTGATGTGTTGGCCACCTGACCTCCAGCCCTACCCAAGTGCTAAATCCTCCCTCCCATACATGGGTGTAGACCCCGGAGGGAGGCAGTCTGGAAGGTTTCTGAAGAATGGATAAAAGTGGAACTTAGCAAATTCGTCTGCGGATTTGTGCTCTCTCTCGGGCAACTTGAAAAAAATACAATTAAAAATAAAATCAAAGCCACAAAGAGCAAGCTTGGGCACGGCTTCAGGGTCACACCTACGAAATCTGACGTGGTAAGGAGAACTGTCCAGAAACCAGAGAGGCCGGGGCCTTGCCGCCAAGTGTTCCGAGGATTAGAATTCCCGGGTCTGTGAAAGCGCATCAGCCGCAGGAAAGCCCCGAGGAGCTGCCCGCCGTCTGCGGAGCCTTTACGGACGGAAGTGCCTTCGCCATGTGCTCGGGTCCCACCCAAACCCTCCCCCTTACTAGAAGTTAGACGTATGGGGGCAGGAGGCATCGGAGCAGGGTACAGAGGTCCCTGGCCAGGAGGAATGCGAGGCTGCCTGCACCCCACACTGCCTTATGTAGCCGGTTTTCTTCGGAAAAGCCAACGCGAGCTACTCTTTAGGGGGCAGATAGGGAAACTGAGGCTCAGCGCAGTGAGGCGGTGCCCCACTTGGCACAAGAGCTGCGCCAGGGTGCGGACACCACCTCCAGGTCCAAGCCCTCTTTTACTGAAATTCGATCGCCCCTAGTTCCTTTCGGGCCTCCAGGCTCCCGGCTCCCGGGTCGGCCAAGCCCACCTTCCTCCTACCTGCCGAGCCGTCCGGGCCGTCCTTGTCCGCCCGGCCAGGCTCGCCGGCGCCCTGCTGGCGGTCGTTGTCGCAGCCGCCCTGGTCCAGGCGCGCCTCGGCGCTGGAGCAGCAGTAGCGCAGCGCGCAGCTGCCGCAGCAGATGGTGGCGTCGCCGCCGTCGAAGCGCTCGGGGCACTGGAAGCCGAGGCGCCAGACGCCCTGCGCGTCCAGCCAGCCGTGGCAGTACTCGCCGCTGGCCCGCGCCCCCGCCGCCAGGAGGGCCGCCAGCAGCAGCTGCAGGAGCGAAGCGGCGCTCGGAGGGGACGCGGCGGGCGAGCGGCGTCCGCCCCACATGGCACCACCCTGGGCGCGGGCGGCGCGGCTCCGGGGGGGGGCGCACAGCGGGCTCCGGGAAGGCGCGGCCCCGACGACCGGGCTCCCGGGGATGCGGCGGCCGGGACGGGGACGGCCTCCGCGGCGCTCTTCCGAGCGGGCCTCTGGTCCTCCGCCGCGACGTCCAGGAGCCGACGACGCCGGGCTGCCGGGCGCAGGGGTCCTAGGCCATCCCTCCCGTGGCCGGGCGCGGTGCCGGGCGGTCGCCGGTCCCCGGTGGCGGCGCCGCCTGGAGAGCGAGCGCTCGCTGCTGGGACTCCCTGGGCGCAGGGTCAGAGGGGCCCCAGCGCCGCCGTCCCGCCGCCCCTGGAGGCTCCCCCCGCGGCAGGAGCCTCCCCGCGCATCCCCGAGGGGACGCTCACTCCCGCCGCCGACCCGGAGCCAGGTCGCTGCCGCGGAGTGTCAGCCTCGCGGGCCCGCGCCCAGGTCGGGAAGCGTCTCCCCTCCCCTACTGCCCTCTCGGGCGGCGCGAAGGAGCCACGAAGCGGGGCAGCAAGTGCAGCGGCCGGCCGCGCTCAGGCTCCCCGGCTCCGAACTCGGTCCGCATGGCTCCGGCCGCGCCGCCCCGGCAGCGCCGCGCCCCGCGGGGCGGACGGCCGAGCCTCCCAGCGCGCGCCGGCGTCCGGGCCGTGGGCGACGGTCCGGCGCGCCCCCGCCGCGGCCCCGGGAGCCCGGCTGGCGGGCGGCGGCCGCGGCTGCTGCTGGGCGCGGGTCCAGGCGGGGCGGCGCGGCCCCGGCTCCCCCCGCTCCGCCTCTCCCGCCGCGGCTCGCTCCCACGGGCGCCGGGCGCACTCCGGCCGGCTCTCCCTCCCCCGCCGGCCGCCGCTGCCCTCGGGAGGGGCGCGCCGATCGGAGCCTCCCACGGAAGTCCCAGTCCCCCGGGCCGGGAAGGGGCCGAGGGCGGCAGCCGCCCGCACGCTCGCGGCGCCCGGCTCCGAGCCAGCTCCGACTGGGCTCGCCGTGGCGCCGCGCCGCGCTCTTATGAGGGGCCGGCGGCCGGCGGGCGCGCATGCGCGCTCGCGCGGCCTTGCCTCCTCCCCGGGACGCCCCGAGACGCCCGGAGACGCCCGGAGACGCCCGGAGCCCCTCACCTTCCGACGCCCGCGGGGCCGCGACGGGCGCGGGAGGAGGCAGAACTCAAGCACACCGGGCCGGGCCGACTCGAGAACGGCAATAACAGTAATAGAAGCAAACGGAACTGGCTTATTGAAGATCCTCGTCCTTCGAGCCGATTCTCAAAACTCCTCCCCGCCCCCCCCCCCCGAAGGATTATAATCCCTTCCCATTTTGCAGACGGTGAAGTTGCCCCTCCGACTGTCTGTCTCGGGTTCCAGCACCCGGGGTCCTGGCCACGGCTGGGCACAGGCCACAAACGTGGACGTTGGTGGAAGCGTTTGCGTGCCTGGGGCTGCGCCCGGGGGGCCCCCCGGGCTTCCACCAGGTGGAATGAGACTTCAGTGAAAGCATTATAAATTTGGCCACTGTCTGGATGATCTACGTCGAATTTTTTCTTGCCATATTGGGGCGTGGCGATTTCCCGGGTTTAGGCAGAAAGGTGCCTCTGTTCAACATTTGGCCTTACGGGTGCAGACAGCTGCAGGGAAGAGGAAAACAAGGTTCAGACAGACCAGAAATGCGGCTTTGATGAAGGAGAAATTAATAGCTTCTCCCTTGCGGAAGCTAAAACAACAGGTGCTGATGCTATTAAAGCAGCCGTGATTATTTTTAAAAGAACTAGTGACCCTTCCGACACGGTCTGGAAGTCAGCGGACCTGGTACCTAGGCCCAGCCCCACCAGTAAAGGGTGACTGGGTTTTGTTGGCCTCGGTTTCTTCGTCTTTAAAGCCGGAGCATGGGAGGTGATAACCTCAGACAGAGGTCCCTTGCAGGTACCCGACTGGAGAACACAAGGCAATTTCATTCACCGCAGAGACACCGCGGTTCCCACGACCATGGGCCACGTGTGTATGTCAGGTAAAGGCACAGACTTAGACATGGTGGATTTGCTTCCACTCACCCCAACAAAATCAAATCAAAGGAAAAAAACCCTACCCTCTTCTCTGCCCCCTCCCCCAAAAGAACACCTCATTCTTCTCACTAAGCCTTTCTCTAAGCATTGCCCTTAAAATCCATTGCTTTGGGGGATTTAAAAATTTTTTTAGCTTCATAAAGTTATGTATTTTTTAAAGTTTATTTATTTATGTTGAGAGTGAGGGAATCCCAAACAGGAGCCACGCTGTCAACAGAGCCTCCCAAGGGGCTCGAACGCACCAACCCCGTGAGATCATGACCTGAACAGAAACCAAGAGCCAGTATCATCAACTGAACCACCCAGGTGCCCCTAAAATTACATGTTGTAAATACACCAAACTCTTTTTAACCTAATGTGTTAACAACCTTCCAACGTCAAATTCTTCATTCAACAAATTCATTGATATGGCCTTCCAGTAAGTATAGTGTACTCCGTGTTGGGTACTGGGGATTCATCAGGAAGCCAGACATCATGGACGTTTCCTTCAAACAGAGCTCACAGTCCCTGGGGTAAAACAAATTGGACAAAGAGACAAAGAATTGAATAGCCAAAGATAATAGAAGTATGATGGAAGCTATGACCGGTGGTGTACAGGGTCAACTTAAGCGCATAACCCGAGGGGTGAGAAGGGAGGGAAGGTCAGAAAAATCATCAGAGGAACAGCATTAAAATTAGACCGAAAGAAGGTGAAGGAAGAGCCAGCTATTTCAGGTTGAGTCATTTTCTTAAAAGATCTTGTTAGCTAAGTTTACTGAGGGCTTATTCTATACCAGGCACTGTACTAAGGCCTCATCCAATTTCTGTAGCTACCCTATGACAAAGACCTGGTTACTATCCTCATTCTCCTAGTGAAGATAACTTATCCAATCCACGCAGATTCAAACTGTCTCTTTGCCTGGACTGCACCAAGTTCTAGTCCACTTTATTTTTTTTTAATATTTTTATTTATTTCTAGGAGAGAGAGAGACAGCGTGAGCAGGGGAGGCTCAGAGAGAGAGGGAGTCACAGACTGAAACAGGCTCCAGGCTCCGAGCTGGCTGTCAGCACCAAGCCCGACGCGGGGCTCGAACCCACGAACCGCGAGATCATGACCTAAGTGAAAGTCGGACGCTTAACCGACTAAGCCACCCAGGCGCCCCAATTCTAGTCCACTTTAAAGCCTGCCCAGCACACTGCTCATCCCCACGGTGCCGACTACGGTAAGCTCGGGATTAACTGTGAACTCTACACCGATCACCAGATGCTTAAGTATCATTAGTTTCCAATGGGACCATAAACTGATTTGGGGGGAGGTGTTCAGAGGGTTAATACTTTACCTTTTTATTCCCCCTTTGGAAGAAATGAATGCAAAAGAATTGTACATTTCTCCAGACAGTACGTACACCACACTCTTCTTCCGCTATGCATTTATCCTCTGTTCCAAAACACTGAGGATTCATCAGAATTTATGATGAATTTATGAAGAAAGCAATGTTGCACATTTCCACGTTGGAATTGGGTGATGAGGTAGTGCCACAGTTTTAACACAATACGTTTTTCTCAAACAGTTCACAATTTAGTCCCGGGTAACCCTACAAATGCAGAGCTTTGAACAAATTCATTGTCTTTTTTATCGTCGTGTTCCTTTATTCCTTGTGAATTAAGGAGAGGCCTGTCTCATGGTTACCTTATGTGTGGTTTATCGGCTTCAAGGCTCACATCCTTAAAACATTCTGTTCATCCCTCTGGCTTGTTTTCACGTTTTCTTTGCGACTCTGTTATGTCGTATTGAACTTGTACAAGATAAGTTGTCAAATACTTATTGAACTTCTCTATGGGAGGTGCTACTGGACGATTCTTGCTCCTTTCCATAAGAAATAAAAAGAAATTCCTTCACCGTCCTTAACAGACAGCCTAAACTAATTTTACTAGTCTCTTCTGAGAAACCATAGCTGGAAATCATAACATATAGGTAGTAGTAATAATAATTTATTATAATCAAAACGAAATGTCAGGCCGTCTGCCAAACTATTTTTAAACACATATGAAAGAGTGCCCTCTTCTCTTTCAAGAAGTTTAATTCTATAGAACCTTGCTGCCGAAGTATATTTTTGGATAATGTTGTCTTTCAGTCTCGTGCCTGCGTATATGAATAAAATGCTGTTGACTTAAATACAAAGTTCTGACATGTCTTCAGAAGTACAAATAGAAAGTCATATAACTAAAGAAATGATTACTTATACCTTTGCTAACCGGAGTTGATAGAGATCATATGGAGGTAATCACATTTCGTTCGGCCAGCAGTTCTAAACACTGCAAAATCTGCGGAGTTTTTCGGCAAGTTTCAGCGACACCAGAAGGTTCTTACCATCTGCACACCAGTGAGCGGTCTGTTTAGGAAGAATGGCTTTCACTGGGTTCATTCACTTTTTTTCCTCCTCTTTTATAAATAGGAGTAGTATTGAAAATTCACGTTTGGCTTACCAGAAGTTCTTTTAAGTTAAAAGCGTTTGTGTTAACAAATGAGACCTCAAGCCCAAACAAATATGCTAATTTACATTTCTTTTAATTTTTGCCTTGCGGTTACCTAACCTCATCTGAAAATAAAAAATGGTCATAAGGTTTTCAAAACAAACATCTCTCTTGTTGCTTTTAAATTTCTCATCTTTCATCCTCCTGTGTTTCCTTGTAATTGATATACTGACTCTCAGAAAAGTAATTTCCATATTTAACATTTTTTTTCTCATCCATCCTTAACTGTAAACATTTCACATACTTCTCTCCCTCCCCCATCCTCACCCTAACTCCAGAGTTTTAATGAACCATTTTCCCGTTGATTTTGATGTTTCCTATTGATATATTTTCTTTTTGGAAATGTACAGTTACAAACCATCCAGGATTTCTTCCAGTAATGCTGGAGTATCTCAAAGGGTGGCGTAAACACAATCAACCTGGCATCAAAAGCCTACAGCAAATATTTGCAAATCATGTAACTGATAAGAGCCTCGTATCCAGAGTATATATACAAATCAACACCAAAAAGACAAATGACCCCGTTCAAAAACAGGCAAAAGGCTTGCATAGACGTTTCTCCAACAACCAACAAACGCACGAAGGGACCCTCAATAGCATTAGTCATTAGGGAAATGCACATCAAAATCACAGTGAGATACCATGTCATACCTGCTAGGATGGCAATAATAAAAATAGTAATGATCAGGAAATAACAAGGATTGGAGAGAATATAGAGAAATGGGAACCCTTGCACCCTGCTGGTGGGAATATAAAATGGTGTGACCACCAGTGCAAAACAGTTTGACAGTGACTCACAAAGTGAGGCATAGAGTCACCATGTGACCGTGCAATCCCATTCCTATGTGTATATATCCAAAAGAAGTGAAAACGTATGTCCCTGTATATATTTGTACATAAATGCTCATGGCAGCAGTATTCATAAAAGCCGATGAGTAGAAACAACCCAATGTCCATCAACTGATGCACAGGTAAGCAGCCTGTGGTATATCCATGTAACCATGGATATAGTGTTCAGCCACAAAAGGTAGGAAGAACTGATACTTGCTACAACATGAATGAGTCTTGGAAGTATTATGCTAAGTGAAAGAAGCCAGACACAAAGGGTACACACATGATTCCATTTATAGGAAATGTCCAGAATAAGTAAATACGTACAGACAGAAAGTAGATTTGTGGTGCCAGGGGCTATGGGGGAGGGAAGAAGGAAAGCGACTGCTTAACGGGTATGGGGTTTCCTCTAAGGTTGAAAATGTTCTGAAACAGATGTGAGTGGTAGTTGCACAACACTGTGAGTGCACTAAATGTCACTAATGGTGAAAGTCATGTGTGTTTTACCACAATAAGAAACTAGAACTAAAAGAAAAAGGCTGTGCCCGTGAAACTAGCTATCTGCCCATGACGTCACATGAAGTTTCTTGAAGCGGGTTCACCACTGTCAA